AGATAGAATTCTCCACTCGATCATTTCACTGTTGAGTTCTAATTAACAGGGCTGTTCTTGAAGTGGCACTGGGAAACAGTCACAAAGCATGTACAGAACACGAGGCTAATAACCTTAGTAGTTGAAGCCGATGAAAAAAATAAAAAAAAATATTGATAAAAGATACAGAAAAACAATTTTATTTACAATAATTATAGTTGTAAATTGGATGATATTTTATTTTATATAAAAATGCTTACGGATAGTGGTAATTGTGTATTTTCCATTGTTAATAATACTTGGAATGGGCTTATCATTAGTTAATAAACTCTTAAACAATAAGACAAAATATTCACCTATTTTTATATGTATGAAACCGTTATTCTGAAATGTATACTATCTAGAACCGATTCCGTTAAAAAATGTAACTTGCATAGATCGATGGAATATGCATTTTGTTTGATGTATTAGTTCCTTGTCTTCCTTTGTAGTTATAATGTGTCAAGTATGTCTGCGTCAGGTATTTTCATTGGAAAGTCAAGATCAATTTGCATGCTGTCGTCACCAAATTTCTTCGTAGTATCTTGAAATACGTAAACGAATGTCAACAACCAATTGATTTTTATACACTGAAAAAAAAATATATTCAAAATCTTGATATCAAACACACATTTATTGATTTTAAACTACCAAGTTTATAAAGGTGCAAAGCATTCCTAATGTGGGTAAAAAATGTACTACACCTGAAACGGTACATGTATTTTTAAATATCCTTGAACTTACAATGTAAGAAGAAGCATATAAAATGTAACTAGGAAATTAAGATAAAATCAAGACAAAATCTTAAAAATAATATTTAATTTTTTTTTATTCTGATTTTACACTTAAAACATGCTATTGATGTTTTTATACCCTTATTTTATGAGTTGGCTCTTTTGATGGAGGCGAAGTACGCTTCATCTCCAATTTATTTTAAAATATATTTAATTTATAATAAATCGAGGTATCAAGGCATCTTAGCAAGCCAATTAATGTATAATAAATAATACATGAATGGGTGTGGATTCTTCAAATTCGAAACTAATAATCCCCGACCAAATCATCCTGTATCTTTCATAGTCGTTGTTTATTGACTGGTTCGTGTTGCGAAAAACAATATTTGTAGGAATAAAACATACCGGATTAAACTTTAAAAACTTTATTAACTCGAAGGTCCAACTTTACGACGTTAAGAAACCTTTACAATTACTTTACGTTAAACCCCTCTGTACCTATAACGTGTGGAAGGTGGGTTACCCCCACGGCACTTAGGACTCATTAGGCCCATTGTGCATCCTCCTGAAATGATAGACACCTCCTAGTTCGTGAGCCAGCCTACACATTTAATGTAGTTGACAACGTCGCCAAGAGGTGCTTCTCTTACATCAGCCGGTGTTAGCCGATACTCACCGAACACAAATGTTCCAATAAATGAGAGCGTCGAGCAATCGTAAAGAATATGCTCGATGGTCTCATCTTCTTGTTCGCACCCTCCTCTGCAGAGTGCGGATTCTGACAGCCCCAAGATATGGAGATGCTTTCGTACTTGGCAATGACCAGTCAGAATGTTTGTGACTAGGCACATATTCTGTCTAGTCATAGTCAAGTATTTGTTTGCTGCAGTGTTGTCAGGATAACTTAAGAGCTCCCTGGCAACTCTGCAGTTTCTTGTTTCATCCTATCTTTCCTTGAATTTCACAAGGGAATGTTCTTTGATTAGGTCTGTCACTACCGATTTTGTCAGGCCAATAGAAGGGCCAGGTCCAAAAAGTATTTGGTTGGCTGCTTTCTTGGCTAGTGAACTAGCAAGATTTGATGTGGCGTGACCTTTGATCCATAATACTATTTACAGAGATTAAAACTAAGCTTGACTGTTCACAACTGAAGCCTAAACCAAACTACTTTTCGAGACGTTTTAAGATACATTCTCGATGAGCAGAGAAATCAATCGCATTTGTAGAGCACATGCCACTTTTAGAAAAATGCAATTTTGTTCTAACATTTTTCAAGAATTTGTAATACAAGGAATTACTCAATTGTTGTCCGGTCGGAATTTGAAATACCAAGCTATAGTACCTTTTAAGTCGTGACATTAATTTTCAATCGAATTATTTACAACAAAATGATTTATTACTCGATAGTGATTCAGAGAATTCGAACAATACATATACATTATTTTTAACTTAATTGTAATATTTGATGCATTTTAATTTTATAGACAATATTTGCAATATATACTTAATTTTTAAACCAACAAATATAAGCCTATAAATTTTATAATGATGTTAAAAATATCCAAAGTAAAAAATATTTTAATCGGTTTTAATTACAATAAAATACCTATCATATTAAAATAAATTTATGGTACGCCTATGTGATGTAAACGCTTCGCCTATACTTCAGTAAAAGACAATGGTAAAAGTTGACAATTGCTTATCTAGATTATTTCTTCACCTGAATTTCTTTCCTACATTGATTACCCCCAATGTTCTTTTAATCGTTTCACAAATTTTTATGAATTTCGTCACTTTATTTCCTTTATTATTATCACGTAGGTAATGCCTCTGCCTAGGTACTTTTTTTCTAGACAAATCTAATTTATTTACTTACTCTGGTTTGTACTACACGGGGTACTCTTGATATAATATTGCCTCTTCAGACTTGCCAGAACACAAGATTTTTTCCACGTCGTTTGTCATCAATGTTTGGAACTGAATACAAGGATGGGAATCATAATAATAAATAAATTATTGTATTGGGGGGGATGTAATCTTGGCCGGAATTAGGATAGGTCAAGGGGACATGTAAAATCGGCCGGAGGTTTATGGGTTCCGTCTTATCGTATAAGTATTTTCGGCCGAAAGGAACGGGTAAATCAAAAAGTAGAACATATGTGCAACTTAAATATAGGTATTTACATACTATACTTAAAAACTAGAGCTAAAAAGATACCTAACTGCCCTGATGGGTTGGTACGTAAATCAAATATATAAAATGAGAAAATTATAAAAAATAATTTACCTAACCTGTGCTAAAACGGGTTGCTTCGCAAAAAAAAATTCAAAAAATAAGAAAAACTAAAAATAACTAATTTACATAACCTGTGCGGCCTGGAATCAGTTCACAAAGCACCGTTCTAATATCAACCTCAATTTAGTTTAGATTTTGAGGTACATACCAAAATCCTATCATAAACATTACCTTCAGCCGAAATTACGTATTTCATTAGATGAACCCTTTGCTTTGAGCAGATAGGCGAGGGGATTACCGGCCGAAATTACGCCCGCCGGTATTGGGGGTAAATGTGTATTCGAAATAATTTTTACACGGTTTGAAACGGAAAGATGGGAGTTTCTGTTATTTTAAAAATTTTATTTTCTTTGTAATCGTCCCCCATATTTTATTAAATATTGACTGCACCAGAAGATGGAAAATTGTTCCGAAGCATATGTACTGCTTGTGTTTAAATTATAAAAAATAACTATTTGAACGAACAAACCAAGGAACTTTTTATTTATATAAAATTCTACTAGGGTCAGGAAATTATCCTTATTGCAATAGTTTTACGTTTCAAACAATCTAAGAAAAGTGTTTCACAAGTTTCTTCCACCATGGAAATATTTTCTCAGTGTGTTAATGAGTTTGATGGCACTTTTCTGATTGCTCAGTTGTCTTTCCATATTTTAACTACTTCATCTAAGAATCCATTAAAGATGAGAGGACAGTCTGGTCTGGTGACCCTTAAATTGAGTTGATCTTTAACCAAAGCTGTTTGCTTTTGACTTATTAAGAGTCTTGATACAATTCGGACACTATGTTTAGGTTTGTCACCAACGGAGCTACTCCTAAATAAGTAGCTGTCTAAACTCATTCTTATTAGGCCATTTGAAAAGAATTGAGCTCACGTTGACTTTAATCATACTCTCTGCCGTGGAATGTTGTTACTTGAAGTGGAACACACCTTGTAGATCTTTGGCTGGCTGAATCGTATGGTATTGTAAAATACTTGAAATCGGAGATTTTAGAGATGTTTGTTTCAAATAACACTATATTATGAGAAGAAGGTTCAGTCTGTTAGTATCTAACAAAAGAAAAGTAATAATGGACTTTTTTCTTTTTCTTATTTGCGGGATTTGTGAATTAGTACTTTTTATTTGTTAGATACTACCCGTACTAAACCTTCTTCCGCACTAAACCTTCTTCCGCACTAAACCTTCTCTTCTTTAGTTTTTTTGGGCTAGGATGCATCATCATGGTGACTATAACTGCCTCCGTGGCGACGCAGGTATTTTCCGACAACATGTTGGGTATGTTGGCCGATACCACAAATGTGTGGTTGGCCTCTTAAGCGATCTCCTATTTTGATTTCAACGCAAGTTTCATACTCTTTTGAACTAGGCTGCACCGTACTGATGAAGACCAACGGTCAGAAACATGTGTCTACGGTTTGATTTAGTTTTTTTTTATTTGCGGGATTTGCCTATTATTCCTTTTCTTTTACTATATTTTATCACAAAACAAAAGGTTGGTCTGACAAAATTCTTGATTTACATCTTTTAATAAAAGGTAATCTCGCCCTTTGGATGTAAGATTGTATGACCGAAGATTCAGGTAACAAATGAATGTGAAAAGCTTCTTTGCAGCAGTGTTTTAAATTTAGACTTGTTAGAGTGAGAGAACCTTATATGGAATTACGTTACGTTTTTTTTATGGAAAAAGAGATAGATTCCAAATAGTATGTAATTATTTCGATGTCGAAATCTAGTGTTGTGTTTACAAACGATCGTTAAGGTTAGCAGACAGATTTTCGAACTTGAAAATACATTTGTCTTGATATCGGCTCTTGGCGAACAGTGCTGTTTCTAAATTATTTATTTTCCCATTAAAAATGCTTTTTATTTTTAACACCATTCTTTTAGGTATCTTTCTCGGATCCATTATTGATATTGGTAATGTTTAAGATGATTTTCTCTTTGTTACAGATCACAGACCATGTCGAACTTCAACACCAGCGGGGAAAAAGTAACAATAACTCCGCCGTCGGACTCCATAGTCCCACCTGCGAGCGCACAATGTTCCACTTACACGTTTCCGGAGCCAACTCGTTCGCCGGAGACGCGCGGTCATCTCCGGAGCGTCAGCCACGGAGGCGCCACGAGCTTGTCCGCCAGCAGCTCCGCAGTGGTGGTGGGCCGGTCGGCGATGAAGGGGGCCCGCGGTCATCAAAGGGCGCTATCACAGGGGCAGATTTTTGATTCGAACGGGCCACCCTATAAGCCGGGCCACAGTCGGGTGGGTTCGAAAACGGACTTTATTTTGCCGCCGGGGCACAAGGAGACTGAAACTGCGACCGGGACCACGCCCAGGGCTTCGGCGAAGGGATCTGGACATTCGAGGCAGGCTTCCAGGTACGTTATATTATGAGCAATGTTAATAGAATACGTATATTAGGAATATCATTTACTTTTAAGTACCGTGCGATTACATCTTGATTAATGCTACATTAACTTGGTATGTGTTGTTATGTTATGGCGTGTCAGATACACTACGATCTAAAATACCTATTGCCTTCTGTTTCTAAGGCAGCAATGGAATAATCTCGACGTGTAATCCTATATTCCCAAGGAAGTTTAGGGTTTGGAGTGGCTTCAAACTGGGCCGATTTTCTTCTATTTAAAATGCTCTCAGGTGTCCTTGGAGTTTGTAGTGCCACACATTCAGTAAGTATGCAGTATTCCCGACAGAATCTTGATGCACTATTTTCTACTAGTCCAAGTTTACTTAGATATTCTTTGAGGAAATATCCGGTAAGGGTTTCCATTACTATACGTAGCCTGTTTTTGCCCAGGTAGATACAGGTTTTTGATTGTTTCTGGTTATAGTTATCTAGAAGTATCTTGGCTTGTTCTAGCTCCAAGAGATTGTTCCAATTGTCAGTTCTTCGACTGCCCAATTCTTTTTTAATGTCTTCTAATATTATGTTGTTGCTGATACCGCAGAACGGCTCCACTTCCACAAAGGTTGCAATCTCGTTACCCTTGTCGTCTCTGTGTCCCGGAACCCAAGTGATAGTAATTAAATTTTCCTCCCTCTGTTTTTCTATGCACCTCCAGACAATATTTGAGCTCATTGAGTTTTGATGGCTGCTTGGCTATTGGACATGATGATAATCTCTGGTCTGCGATAGTTTTTATTGATAATGAACAGGATACATTTCTCAGTGGCGTGAATTTTTGCCTGGAAGTTTTTGTGTATTTACCAAAACTTTCAGAATACTTCGGTCTTGGAGCTAATAGACTTCCGTTTTATTACTTCGTTCCTGATCATATGTCTTGTTCTTTTTTCCATGTTACCTAAAATTTAATGTGGAGATAAGTGGTTTAAGATCGCCTCAATTATTGTGGCCGTAGGACCGGTTCTCATTGCACCGGTGATGCAAACACACGCTAGGTTTTGAATCTAAGATATTAGCTCTCGTGGTAGCTAAACTATTATGAAATAACTCGAGCAGTTTGAATGAGAATTTAGTTTTAAAGATTTTATCGTTAACAGGGGCGCAGTCAATATTTTAACCTATTTATATTTTAGTATATCAGCGCTTCTGCTCTCTGTACTCTAATTACATGTTTTTGTAGCTTGAGAGACGTGTTGACTATCAGCGCTCAATAGTCGATCAACGTTTTGTCTGTAGTCAAATTTTCGACTTGACTGTCACCCTCTACAGACGTTCTCTGTATTTCTGGATTGTGAATCGTATATCGTAAATATTTATATATTATATAAATGACCTTTAATCCAGTATCGAACGCTAGACTATTGTAACAACCACCGTCACTTAGAAAGTAACTGCTGTCACTAAATAACAATGTAGTGGCCAAAAGGACTCTAGTCATCAACGGGGGTACACTGTAAGTGTAAAGGCAGCGACTGTCACTAGTCACAGTTAGGGGATAAGGTCCTTAGAGCTTATCCACTCACACCGTGACAAAAAAAGGAAAAAGAAAAAATAAAATAATAGGTTTAAAAATAAAAGGTTTTTCCCTCGTGATGAATAGTGCGAGCGGGTTAAGGAAATGGTTTGGCGAACTGATAATAGGTTCGTCGGGGCTTCGCAAAAGTGCCCGGAGTGTCTTGACAAAAGGGGAAAGTAGACCTGATGAGGATGGAATATATATTCCACAGTTATGTATGTATTGGTTAAGAATTAAAAGGAACACCTAATTAATTATTCAATTATCGAATTCTGGATTTGATTAGATAGCTTATCTGGACTAGGGGTTGTTCCTCTTTATGGAACTCGGGCTGAACTCAACAACTCGAACCACACATAAGATAAAAACAGGTGAACTCAATATATTTAAACATGTAACAATTTTAAATATGAAAAACGATCAAATAATATCCTATGTTTACAGGTACAAGATCCACCCTGAGGTTCTCGCCTGATTCGGTAAATCAGCCGACGATAATAAAGTACCGATAACTACTATAAGAATAAATGGCAAAAAGTGTCAGAAATCTCGTTGGATCTTGTAGCTACCAAAGTCAAAAAAATAAACTCCTATATCACTTCCTATAAAATCTAATAAGGACCGATTCCACCGTTGTGTTAAACGAAGTTTAAAATGACATTTTTACATTAACAATGTCATTTTAATCTCCGTTTAACACAACGGTGGAATCGACCCTAAGAAAGGTAACTAAATAGTTTGGCAGATGAAAGGGTAACTGTCACAATTTTAATGTAGTGAAAGAGGAAGGCTTACCTTGCTCGAAACGTGGTTTCGATTTCACTAAGCTTAAAATCGGTTGGCTGATATTTATTATTTAATCACAACTTTAAAAATTACTTTAAATTTCCCGAGATACGTTTTATCGGCGTCGGTCGGTGAGTAGTCGGACAGCGTAACGCCCGGCCCACTCAGTCACTGTCTCTTCCCCTCGTACCCAAATCATTTAAATATTAGTTGAGACGTGCTTTCTTTGAAATTTTTGATCAACTCATATATTTAATTTCCTTTGATATTATAATAACTGTTAGGTCAAATGAATGAAAGTACTTGAAAATTTATATGAGATTTTTATGTAAAATCTTTAGATTAATTAAAATAATTGCCAAATTATTACATTACTCCCCTCCGACAAAAAAATTTAACTTGTTCAATTCTTTTTCGAACTCCCTAATCTGAATATTTTCCTAAAAATTAAGTATATAAATTTTTACATTCAATTATCCTGCAATGGTTATTTTGCTTCTTTTTCTTTCTTCATCGTCACGTCCTTTGCTTTGTTGGCTGCCGTCATCTGTCCTTCCTACATGTCCATTTTCGTATTGCTTCCTAATTGTTCCTTGATTCTGTCCAAGGTTTTTGGTCCATTTGCTGAGACTGTCCCTGCTCCATGCTCTGCATTTCCATTGTTTGTTTGTCGTCGTCCTCGTGTTTTTGTTGGCGATACTGGTTCCTGTGTAGTACCCATGACGTCATTGCTGTTCCTATGCTGGCTATTAGTTGTACTCCGCATCCGAGAGTTTGGTAGATTCTCATGCTGTTGAGTATTACGCTGCCAGCGTAATTGATCATTCGGAAAATTACGTAGCTACTAGATCCAACGAGATTTCTGACACTTTTTGCCATTTATTCTTATAGTAGTTATCGGTACTTTATTATCGTCGGCTGATTTACCGAATCAGGCGAGAACCTCAAGGTGGATCTTGAACCTGTAAACATAGGATATTATTTGATCGTTTTTCATATTTAAAATTGTTACATGTTTAAATATATTGAGTTAAATATATTGAGTTGTTAAACGTTCACCAATCAAAATTTGCTAGTACATGATACAATTTAATTTGCTGCGCAGCCTTTATGTATTAAACCACATTGTCATACTAAAATGTTACATTGATTTAAAAATAACTAGTTTCTTGAGAGATAATATTCTATATTATAGCTTTTAACGGAAAAATAATTCTCAATAATAAATACCAAAGTATATAATGATGAGTAACAAAATTGCTACTCGCAATAGATGGCTGATCCGGATATTACACAAAACTAATAACAAAAGTAAACAAATATAGTTTAATACTTAAACTGCAATTTAGAACTACGAGATAACAGGTATGTTTGCAACATGATTCTCGGTGTAATACGATAGTAGATTTTTTTATAACACCGATGGAGTTTGATGGCATAACTCTCATTTACATATTCGTTCGCATTTCTATGAATATCTGAAATTTATATCGCATCCAATTTCGTCAGTTATTATCTACATTAATGATCCATTGACGTTATTTTTTCATTAAAATTAATTGTATATCGATGGTCTCTGTACCCCCGTAACTGCATGGATCGGTATTTTACAGGAGAAGCTTTTTTTAGTTTATAAGTGCTAAGTATGATTGCAATACGGGTCATTAGAATGGTAAAATTCTTGCGCCAATAATTTCCGAAGCCAATACGGTGTATTTAAATTCATGACAGAGTAAACGTACAATCGAATGGCGTGAAAAAGTAAAATTTTTATTCTTTGCAGATACGGGGTATTAGAATTAGACCATCGATATAGAAAACTAAATAATTAGTAAGTCCATCATATATTATGCGATAGCTTTTAATGCAGTAATAAACAAAATATTAAAGTGCAATAAATATTATTAGTCATCATTAACGCATTTAAAAAAATTTTACGATAATTGAGTGCAGTAGAAAACATTATCGAAGCTATTTGAAGTTAAAAATTATATGGACATTCTAGAAAATAATGAAATCAATCCATAAATTCTGTTACCGATGAGAACTTGTGCTTTCAATGAAGCTGGACCTCAAGGTTAAGCTTTAGCCCCTCTATTGATCCCATTCACACTGTATCCGGAGTTTTAAGGTACGTTTACATCTGACATTTATTGCATGATATTTATGTTTGACAGTTGTACAGTCCTGTGTAAACACACAAAAATTTCTTTCGGAGATATATTTTTGAGTATTTACACTGGACTAAACAACTGTCAGACATAAATCTCATGCAATAAATGTCAGATGTAAACGTACCTTTAGAGATGACAACTCAGATGGAAGTCTCAAGATCATCTTAGTACAAATTACTAAAATAACGACAACATTATGTTATCACTGAATCGCTAACGTTTTTAATTAATTGATTAAGGGTGGCGTCTGGCCATATCTCGGAAACCGCTAATCTGGACAATTTTGGGATGTACAAAAGAAAAACTTAAAAATATTTTAAAATGTGTAACTTTGCTCTATATCGCACGACGACATATCATTTACAAAACGTAATTATTGTGTTTTTCGGAAACAAATCTATATTATTTTAAACCTAATTTTCAGGAAAACTCGGGAAAACTGAACATTTTAAAGTTTGATGTTTCATTATGTGTTTC